TACCTTTATTCCCTCTTTCCCTACTGTTCCTAGGGATCCTAGCTGGATCCTAAGTTCCCCTTGCTCACTGCTTATCACTTCTTCTCAAACTCACCCTCTATCCTGTTAATTTTCGCTGCCTGTCTTCCACTCTGTGATTTGCACCCAGCCCTCCTTATCTCTCTCTCTCTCTCTCCAGTTCTGCCCCGAGGGCTCCCTCAGGTTACCTGCTCACATCTACAGCGGCAGCACACCTTGGGGCAGTCACCACCACTTCCAGAGGCCCTCTATCCTGAAGGGGATCTCTGGTGACAAGAGAAAGAATGTGTTCATTGTTAGTCTAAAGAGTCCGATCTATATATTAAGCTTGCTGTAAAAATCTCATTAATTTCAGGATCCACATTTTTGTATTTAAAAAAGCAGAAGTGGATTTAGTATGTTTTTAAACTGACAACCACTTGAGGTTTTGCTGGGACAAATGCACATAGATTCAAGCACAGGCTTCCCCATGTTAGAACAGGAGTCAGGGATGGAAAACAACACATTAAATCCATCTGCCAGTGAATGTGACAACTATTTTCTGCAAGCTGTTTTCTAGATTTTCCCACTGCTGTTTTAACAGTCAGAAGTAATCGTTTATTTATTACTCTCCAGAGGCTGTTCTCCCATTCAGTAACTTGTTATAAGACTGGTAGCTGATCTACTTTGTAGCTTTACAAATTTTGTCTTTGCGCTTCTTTTTACCTGTAATATACATATCTTGTCCTCATTTGAAGTAAGCTATCCATCAAATATTTCTGGATTAGTTACCATGTTACTCTTTTTTCTCCTGAGCCTCCTCTGTCATAGAGTGTGTACTCCTTCAGTTTGTTTGGAAGGGGTTTTTCTGTGTGTGTATAAAAACAGGTAAATATTATTCAGCTTGGATAATGGAAAGCAGGGCAGTATTTTTGCTTGGAAATGCATAAGGACATCTTTGTAAACCTTCTCACTTGTTGGTCTGTCAGACATAATCCCAGGCAGCCTGCTTGTGGGTCACCCTGCTTGAGTACCATGTTGGACCAGACAATTTCCAGAGGCCTCTTCTAACCTCATCCATTCAGTGATTCTGCGATCATCTTAGTTGACATATGTTTAGTGATTTATTTCTATTTTAAACAGAAGGGCTCTTCTATAGGTCTTGGTAACTGACTTCCAATTTAAATTAATGTTTTTTGGTTTTGTTTGCTTTTTTCTTACCTGTTTTTTTACACGTCCAGAATTACATACAGTTCCAGAGTTGTGCTTCAAGCAGTGGTTACTCTTTGGCATGGGAGTTGTTGTATCCATGAATGTAAAATTAATATCGTGACTGAAAAATACCTCTAAATTCTTGTGGTGTTTTAACAGTTACACTTAGCATTAAGCATTGCTCAAAAAACTAGAGAAAGTGGAAAGATAATACTACTAGTGGATCTCACCAATCTTTTATTCTTTGTCATTTCAGTCGTCAGAGGCAAGAAGTAGATTTTTTTCTTTTACCTTTTCTACATTATTTGGAATGAGACTACACTGTACATTTATTTCCCTCAGAAGAAGACAGGCAAGAAAACCCCTAAGACTAAGAGAAGAAATGATTTCTCATGTTTTTCTAGTGGGATTGCCTGGATGGTCCCTATCTTCTGTTTGCTTTTTGAACAGTCTGTCTTGAATCAATGGGCACTTAGAGTACAGGGATGTACTGCAGGCTCAGATTGCCAGTGCAATCAAAAACAGAATAAGAATGTGTTGAATAGATGAAAGAACAAAATCCCTTTTTGGCTCCACTTATGCATCCGTGGCCATCTGCTCCATTAAGAACCAGTCTTCAAATCTTTATGATTTAATAAAGCACTGACAGTCTCCACCTGGCATTTTAGGTCTTTATCTTAAAGGAGTAACCTATCTTCAGTTTTACTGTAATTACTAAATTAGGTATTATTTTTGCTATTTGAAGTTCTTATAGTTTGGGTATTTTAAAATGCCACCAGTCATTTTTTTTGCAGCACTGAATTAAAATATTTTATTCTCCTATTATAGAGCTGCTCTAATCATCATTAGTCATTTTTATATTTGTTAGTGACGTATTTTTTCGAAATCAAACTGTTGAAAAAGTGCTGACAGCAAGTGCCAGCATCTTTATATTAGATAGATGTCTATAAATGTAAAATATCCATGCTAACAACACCTTCCTAGTCCGTATCATAAGATGGCCACTGAAAAAGAACAAAGTTGAAACCTCAAATGGAGCTGAGTTGATTTGTAACACTATAGAGCTTATTTCCCATTCCTCTTTAATATTTGGTACAAATTCAAAGCAGGACACAGAGAACGATGGATCACCGAGATGATCCATAGAGTTTCTATGTGAGATCCTTATCCCACAAGTCCTCAGGAACTTTCTTGCCAGTAGCTTCGTATTAGTAGGAGTACTTTCAATTATTAAATGTAAATATTTTTTAGTAGTCAGACACTGAGTTTTTGTGATAATTTCAAGTTATGTTTTGGTAGAACACTGTGAGTTTAATAACTAGCATGTGTTTAGGGAATTGGGGAAATACAGGGAGTATTTAAAACAACATGCCATGCTGTAAGAGAACTTCTACAATCAAATTCATATAAAGTAATAATATAATAGTATTATTTAGGATATTATGATTGCTCTAGTTTTTATCAGCAGTGTGGTGTTTGTTTTGTAATATGTTCACCATGATCAAAACAATAATGCAATGTAAGAGCAGTTTGCTGTAGCAAGATCCAAGGAAAGATATATTTTATATATGCTGGAAAAGCTGAATTTGTCATAAAAATGTATTATAATACTTCCTGGTCCAAAGCTTAGAAAATTCTCTAACTAACTGATCATAAATAGGAAGCTTTTCCAGAGAAGCCCTTCAATTTCTGGAGCACCCAAGCCTTCCCTTTTTTTTGGTAACTTCCAGAAAATTACACTTTTGGTATCTACAACTAGAAAAGTAAGTCTCCAAGTCTTGAAACTAATTTAGCTGCTGAGCTCCACTGTTTCATCTGTGTTATCTCTTACAAGGTTTCTACAGTATAAAATCTAACCAAATCTTTCTAAGTTTTTATTGCTGCTGCTCTGAGTCTTTTTTTTTTTTTTGAAGTGCATTTGGGAAACAGCAATGAAAAAGAGTGCTTGCTGCTATAAATTTGAAACAAAAATTACATTCTCTTAGTTAAAGGGTTTTTTTTCTCCTTACTGACAAGAAAACATTGAGGTTGCACCCTAATTATTACAGTGATTTGAGCTTTTCTGTCTTCTGGTAATTGTGTGCATTGGGAGGAAGTCAGTGCTATCCGTTAATAATGCTATCAATTATCATTTAGTATAAGACTGGTGTTTATTTGTGGTTAGAAGTATTGCTGTCACCATTTCAGGGACACATGGGGAGGGCCTTCCATCAGAAATATGATGGGACGCTTTTTAAAACCAGGACAGGTAGCAAATGGTATTCTTCCTTAGCCAGGAAGCACATTAGATGCGTAGTGCTGTTCTTTCAGGCTGAGACATTGTGTGTTTAAAAACTGAATGTAGTTGAGTTAGTGCCATGTGCCAACAAGAACTGAGTTGGTTTAGGTGTCATTTTTTTCAGTATTATTCACTTTCCAAATTATTAATAGCTTTGACTATGTATTGAGTTGAACTACCAGTCCCTATCTAATCACTGAGTGTTAAACAATAAGGCAATATCCAGATTTTTTAAAAACATTCATATTGTAGATTTATGCAAAGAGGGTGAATAAAACATAGAGAGGGTCAGAGACCACAGGACTCTTCTCAAGACAGAAATCCATAGCTATGAATTTATTTCCTTTGCTGCATAACAAACATTAATATTTAACAAATGCATCATGAATATTTAAAGTTCTTAGTTAATTATATATTATAATACTGTTTCTACCTTTCCTAAAACATTTAATGCTTCATTAACCCATTCACATCATACTAAAATAATTAAAATTAGTCTGTATCTGTTCTGCCTCTCAGTGACATCTGGCATTTCAGAAGTCGATTTTATTTTACTTGTGCTAGTGGACGAGATGCAATCATTGAAACTTTTCCTTTTTTTTTTCTTTTTTTTTTTTTTTTGGTACGGAAGTCAGCTACGTATCAGTAAGAGTAATCTTTTCCAAAACTGCTTTTTCCCTACAAAACAGGAAAACTCCATATAGGTTATTAGCTCTGTGAATGCTAAGAAGTCCTGTAGTGGATGTTCCTTCTCCTCTGGTATTTATGTAACTGATAATGGTCTTTTTAATTGAAATAATGTTCATGAATGTTCTCAGAAGTCATATTTTGTGTGATACATAGTGTTCCACAAAGAATATTTTGAAAACTCCTTGGTGTTAAAAAGCAAGAATATTTGAATGTATATTTTCAATGAACATAGAATCATAGAATGGTTTAGGTTGGAGAAGACCTCTAAGATCATCGAGGCCAACTGTTAACCAAAACTGCCAAGTCCACCACTAAACCATGTCCTTAAGTGCCACATCTCTGTCTTTTGAATACCTCTAGGGATGGATGCAATATAGTGTGCTGTAATCTGATTCTAGGTACATAATATTCTGTGTTGTACCTTACTGATTAAGGCCTGCCTCTGCAGATGTCTACAGATACACTTATTTTATGCATATAAATAGTTTTGTGGCATTTGATTTTCTTGCCTGAATGGGTAAAACTAAGCTGTGATCACAGCTTTTACAGCCAAGTCCTGTGCTATCAGTGTTTTCAAATGCATTCCTTTCAGAAGAGTGATCCCTGCTTACCAGCCACATTTTCCCCAAGCCTTTTGTTTGTCTTTAGAGTACTTCACCATGTAATATGTGGAAAAATAAGTATACATTACAAATAATATTTTGTGTGTTTCCGGACCCAATTATGTGTGATCAAACAGAGGGAACTATGGTTCGTAAAACCATAACCAACAGACAGGAAGAATTTTTCATACAATGCCTAAATCTCTTTATTTTCTTTTTAGCCAGCCAATGGGATCTTCATGAGTGCGTTTCTCATTGTTTTACCTCTGGAGTCCATGGCTCATGGGCTTTTCCATGAGCTGGGAAACTGCTTAGGAGGAACGTGTGTTGGGTATGCTGTTGTGATTCCCACCAACTTTTGCAGGTATAGTTACCATGTATTTCAACTGCAGAGTATTGTAAGTGTACTGTTAGCTCGTGGAGGCAATGCAGTAATGTGGCTTGTATTTTTCAATAATTAAAACCAAATTTAAATAATAGGAAGATTTTCTATTTTTCTCTTTTTCTCATCTTCTGGAATGAGTAACTCCAAATCCAAGTTTTTATATCTAATTAATTTGTTTTTAGAAAGCCTACGAATGCTCTTCAGACCAGTTGTGCATGGGCAGATTCCATAGTCCACGTCTCATGCAAAGGAGGATCAGGGCGTTTGACTGAGTGCAGATATTTTACATGAGGAGATTTAATAAACCAAACAGATTAGTTCAAAACAATTTTGAATTCTGTTAAATGAGATTCTGTCTACATTTAAAGGGCAATGAAGTTAGATTTGTGAGTGAACTACTTGTCAGGTCTTGGTATTAAGAATTTACAGTTGATTTTTATTCCAACATAAATGTTACTGTGTGAGAAATGCTTGGGGGTAGAGGGATTGTACCATTATTATTTGCCATTTTGTGTGTTTTTCTTATAAGCTTTAAACTTGCAAATGCTTCTTTAGCCATATAATTAAAATTGGTATGGGCTCATTTGTTTTGTAAATGATAAAGAAGAGCTATGCAAATCATCTGTTTAAGTTACAAGAGAAACAGAGTAGTCAGTTGAAACAAGAGGCTTAAAAATAGAACTGCCCAATTTATGAAAACTGCCCAGTTTGAGTATGTGTAGTGGATTGGGAAAAAAATTACCAGGCAGAGAAACCAAAGGTACTGTAGATCACTGTTAGATCACTGTATCTTAAATAGTGTAAAAAACAAATTTTCCGAGCTTCTGATCTACAGTCTTTCTGATCTACAGCTGTGCACCCTTAAAAGAATCCATGTAGTCAGTTATTGTTATGAGTTAAAAAAATAAATGTTCAAAATTTGCGTTACAATAAAAATAAAGTCATTTTGTTTCCATGGCAACAATATAATTGTCTCATTGTATTATATTGTTCTGGCTCTGGCAGTTACCTCTAATTTTGCATGAATGAGATACTCTTGAGCAACTGTTTAGGACTTGACAGAACTAAACTTCCTTATTAATAAAGGTTGCCTCTTTCAGTGATGGGCTGAGTCTTCACTTGCTGAGACAAACAGTAATGATGAGGTATTCAATGTAGTTGGAGTAGAGGAACATTAACTGTCATAAAAGCACTAGACAGGTAGGAGGTGCAAAATTGAATTAGCTAGACCAATGAAGAAACCAGGTGGCTTTACACACTGGCTTGCAAACAGAATGCATGAAGAATACATACATATACACACCCGTAAGTCATGTTTTGTATTATTAGAGTAAGATCATATTTTCAGCTACGAAACCTCTTGTCTAATTGAGCATAAATCAGGCCACTTTGGCACAGCTGTCAGTCATGCTCCTTATCAATACCCTTATTACATTGGCTGAAGAGTGATGAATGCATTTCTTTTTATGAAAATACATTCCAAAAAGCGCTCCCATAATTGGGTGTCTTGGAAGGCCAAATCTCTTATTGTAGCGATTAACAAATAGCTATGTAGACCTAAAAAAAAGTGTGTGTATTTTCACTATATATTTTATTCTATATTTTACATACTATAAGTATTTGATTTTATATTTTATATATTTATCTATATTTTATATAGAATATACATATATTAATAGAAATAAAATACATTTTGGAACCAAGGACTCTTTTTTTTAATATATATATATGCATATTCATAGGTATAGAGACACACACAGACATATGTATACAGACACACACGCACATACATGGTTTTTTCCAGGTCTAATTTTTAGCTGTCTTAAAACTTTGATTTTCTAATCTGTGAATACTGTTATCTGAAATGCATTTCTTATGGTGAAAGAACAGCATCTGAACAGCACACACAAGGAATAATTCTGTATATGTGCAAGTTCCATATTTCAGAATGTCTGAGCAAAATGTGTTTTTGGATTTCTCTTTAGTCTGTTATTGGAAACTAGTTTGCATTTGATGTTTTGTGCAGATTAGCACTCATTCTCCTTGTGCTTTTTTCCAGTTGTGAAAAAGTGCTTTTGCGTAGAGAGTGCTTCTCAGTGGGGCTTTATGAAATTGCTGGAACTTCCCCAGCATGTTTTCACATTGCAGCTCCTCTCTCCCCCTCTGTCTCTCAGCTGCAGGAATAGCATAGGGCTTAGTAAGGACTATGCTTTGAAGTGAAGTGTGACAGAAGGGAGATAGTGGTCCCTTACACAAATACAGTAATTTAGGTTGTTTATAAACTGTGCATTTAAAGTCAGTTTAAATTTAGAACAGTGCTACTTCATAGCAGAGAAAATATGCACAGGGGAAAAAATCACCAATTGCTAAAAGCCCACTAAGCATGAAATAATTATAAACCATAATCGCAGCTGTTTTCTTTCTCTTTAGTCCTGATGGCCAACCAACTCTTCTTCCACCTGAGCACGTACAAGAGTTAAATCTGAGGTCTACTGGCATGCTTAATGCCATCCAAAGATTTTTTGCATATCACATGATTGAGACATATGGTTGTGACTACTCTACAAGCGGACTGACCTTTGATACTCTTCACTCCAAGATCAAGTCTTTTCTTGAACTTCGGACAGCAGATGGACCCAGACATGATACCTACATTCTGTATTACAGTGGTCACTCACATGGCACTGGTGAATGGGCACTGGCAGGTAACTGGTTTGGGGATTTTTTTAATTATTAGTTTTGGTATTGATAAACTTTACAGAATGAATGAATTGATTTGGAAAAAATCATACTGTATTGCAAAACTTTGACGTTTTGGTCATACTTATTATTGCATTGTCCAGAATGGCAAAGAACCATTAGTGTTCAGAGAACAGGTTTATATACAAGCTCCTGGCAGGGAAGGAAGAAAGGAAAGGGTAATACTACAGAGCATGACTGTTAAGAGACTAAGAGGCAAAAAGGAGTTGAAAAAACAGGACAGGTTGTGGGCTGACTGCCTCTGATAGTGGAGAGAATGGAGAGATGCAGGCACCCCTTTTGTATGCAGTTGTTGAAAAGAAACAGTTCTTTCCTTACCTTGCTTTGTATGAGAGCCAGGTATGTTACTTCATGAACTTTGTAATTTTAGTATTCTTTCACTTTAATAAAATCCTTTTGCAGCTAACTAATCTTTCACTTGTTCTCAAAATTGTCTAAATATTGTTGACCCCAAAGGTATTCTTACAGATTTAAACATGGTTTCATATTCTCCTGGTTTTCATCCCGCATGATTTTCATATTCAACAACTTTAAAGATCTGAAAATTTAAAGTGGAAATAACCTCCTGCTCTAAAGCCAGATTTTTCCCTGTATTTCGAGGAATATTTATTCACTGTAATGAAAAGCATGATCTTTTCTCATTCCTTGGACATGGCAGAATGAATTATATAATGTTCTGTGTCACTGTGTTAGTTAGTCATGAAGTCCTTAAGATGTGCTTTGGGTTTTTTGGTAAAAGATAGAATCAATAACAGAAATAGGAGGCAGTTGCACAGTCCGCACTAGAAAAGCAGGTCTTCAAACATATTTGCAAGCCTACTATTGTAAAAACAGCTATGATTTGCTGGTGTTCTAGAAATTGGGAGTGACTGTGGGCACAGGCCTCAAGACTATAAACCCCTGTATAAAGGGCCAGTTCAATGCCCTGTCATATGCTTGGAATAGACTTCACCATTTTGCATTTTCTTGGCCCATTTTTTATCTCTTTTTAATGGCCAGTTCTGTCTCAGCTCTGTTCTTTGGTAAGCGTACTGAAGTTGTTGAATCATTGGAAGATTTAGCCTTGCTCTGCTGCTGTAGGGAACTGAGCTTCTGAGGTCACTATGTGCAAAAAGTGAATCTCATAGTAAATCCACTGAAAATTTGCAACTGGGATAGAATTAATGCTCCTGGATAGCACTCTGCCTGTGAGCTCCTGGCTGTTTGTCAGCAGTGTCTCTCCAGGTGCATGTGTTCTTCAACAAGTTAGACAGATACTAGTTTTGTGTGCGATCACGCTGAGGTAGGTGTCCAAGCACAGGTCACTTTCCATCTGGAGGCTCTGTACCTGTTTTGGCAAAGCTCCACAGCTGAACCATTTGTTCTGCTGAACAGCAATGTCTGCTTTTTTCTCAAAGGTTTCATCTGTATCAGATATTTTAAAAAGCCACAGTTGTACTGTTGTTGTACTGTTAGCATGAGTGGTGAAGTGCAGTGTATGCCGAATTACTTCTCTGGGAACAGGGTGGTTTGTCCATAAGAGCAGCTGCCACCCTGTGCAATTGCTGAGCGTGGAGCAGGATAAGCAGCAAAACTCCACCTCCCACCTGTGCTCCAGCCAGCAGCATAGACATGGTCAGCTTTCTAGCATATGTAGAGCCAAATGTTTCTGCAAAATTTGGCCAGCTTCCAGCCCAGTCCTGGCTTATGTCTTGCCAGCCTGGAGTATGACAAGGTTGCTCAGGTGTCTGTGTACCTGTGTAGGTAGCTGTAGCCTATATTGAAATCTGTCTTCACTTTTAGGATAAGGGCCAAGGGAGCTGTTAAAAAGAAAGTTTCAGTGCTAAAAGATAGAGTATAAATGCAGTGGTGTTCAGGTTTCTGACAAAGCTCCTTTTCAGTTCCCTGTCCAAGCACATCTTCAGCTTCTACATAAAGGAGAGAACAGGCAGCTGTCACAGGTCTTGCATGCCTTTTTTGTGATTAATTTTAGTTAAATTGTGGAGTATAACGTGATCTTCCTCAGATAGCACTACTCCTGCACATAACTTGGAATATAAACTGAAAAGGTGAAGACTGCTTGTCTCTGTAATTGTGCCCCATGTATTGGACAGTAGCATTTTGTGACAGATGGAACACTGGTCATCAGCTTCAGTACTGTGTACTGTCCTCTGACCTGTGAAGAGGATGAGTAGAGATGGCAACAATTAAATAAAACATTCATATCTAAATGAAAAAGTAGTTTCTCACTGCCGGCCTATGCCATGATACAGCACAGCAGTAGCAGTGTACTCTTTGCTTTGTAATGACATTTTTTAAAGGAGGCTTACTGAATTTATTAATTCACTAATTATGTTTCTCTGTTGTTGGAAGCTGAGATGCAACATAGTGGTGTATAAAAGAAACTGTTAACTAGTCATGCATAAAGTATGAGCAGTAAAACGACCTGGGAGGTCATGTTCTCTGAGTGAAGGCAAAGGCATGAGCTGGGCTAATGAAGCTTTGTCTCTGTTGCTGGAACTGTCGGCTTAACTGTCAGCCGGCAGAACCTGCCAGAGAGACAGAAGTGGCCAAAAGCCTGGATTCCTTACATAGCTTTGTGCCTTAATCTTGCCCTGGCTGATAGGTCCATGTGTTTGAGGTTAGCAGGGTTAGAAGCTGAGCATGTGTTTGCCTGTGTCTGTGAAGGATGAGATGGTTTTCTTTGAGTTATTCTATCCAGTGCTGTTTTGAAGTCACCTGCACTGTTCTACACTGCACTCCTGCATAGTTACACTAAAATAAAGTTTATTTATAAGCCTTTGAAATGTGAACAAATAAAGAAACTTTTACAGATAATTGATACAGAAGGTGTGCCTAGAAAAGGGAAACTGCTTCTATAAGTCTCTTCTGTAAGTAACTACAACAATTTGGGGATCATGTACCAAGACAAGTCATGACTGTAGGTTTGTATATTAGAGATTTTCTTTGGTACTAAATTTTCCAGGCTTGCACTTTTTTGGAGAGAGTTGCAGCCCTGTAATTTTGCTTTTACTTTAACTGAAATATCATGCACAATGCTTTACCTCTGAGCTATTAATTTGAAGCACGTTTTTTCATCCTTTGCAGGTAGAAATGTAAGTGCTGAAATATGCAGTTAACAATGTTTAAACACTGCTTAATTGTATTCCACAGTGAAAATCACTCTGGAATTAAAATACGGTTATTCTAGATCACATTTTTTTGTTTTTAAGTTGACATTTTCAAACTAGAGTATTTTTGTTGTAAATCTCCAACTGACCAAAACCTAGGCATACCAGTTCTTCACATTTAATATCAATGTGGAGCCAATGGAGATTTATTCATTTGTTTGCAAGATATTGTCCTTAGACACTTCAATAAGTAGTCTGCTTTTCAAAGCTACACAGATCCTGCAACATCCATTACACTTAAGCAGAAGGACTCCCACTATAGGTAACTTGTTTTAATTACAATCTCCTCTGTCAAAGCGCTGTTGGAGCAACAGCTGAGATGGAACATGAGAAGTTGGACACTTTAGTTGCAAGGATCTTCTGGGCTGATAGGAAATAAATATTGTGGAAAAATTTCTGTGAGGTTTGTTTCATCGAGTTGTAAATCCATACCAGTTTTCTTGAAGCTCTGAAAACAACTGTGTCTATAGAGAGAATCTCTTCATTCCTGGTCATGTGAATTTTTGTGCCTGTAGGTGACTTTCTCATTGACATTCTTTCTTTGAAACTGTTAGCATGTGTTTTGTTCTAAAGTTATCTCTTAGAGGAGCCTTTTTTTAGTTTTCATAAAGACATCCTAAAAAGAGTAATTGTTCCTAAAATTATAAAGATTTAATACAAAATAAAGTTTGTTTTAGGTTTTCTTTCCTTGTTTATCTATTTCCAGATTTCTTCAATAGATGTGTTTTCTTTCACACTATGAGGGAATTGCCTTTCCCCCCCCCCTTGGGTGTTTGGGGTATTTTTTCTAATCAAGGGTGAGCTCATGGTTTTATCTGCCATGGCAAGTCAGACAGAAGCAGTTCACACTTCTCTAGAGATCTGCAACATTTACAACCAGAGAGGATCACTTGAAAGCATGTTCTTATCTGTCCAAGTTGTTAAAGTAAGGGATTCTTAGAACCAGTCGAAACAGTAACAATTCTTCAGAGGTTTCCGCTTCTTCATCCTAATATTAAAGCTTTTTGTCCTTTTGGCAGGGGGTGATGCTTTACGACTTGACACGCTCTTGGAGTGGTGGAGAGAAAAGAACGGCACTTTTTGTTCTCGGCTGATCATCGTTTTAGACTGTGAGAACTCTCAGCCTTGGGTTAAAGAAGTAAGAAAAGTAAATGACCAATATGTTGCCGTGCAAGGAGCAGAAATGGCCAGAGTTGTAGACATTGAGGAAGCAGACCCTCCACAGCTTGGTGACTTCACCAGGCAATGGGTTGAGTACAACTGTAACCCCGACAGCAACATCAGCTGGTCTGAAAAGGGACGTACTGTGAAAGCAGTGTACGGTGTGTCAAAGCGCTGGAGCGACTACACTTTGCATTTGCCAACGGGAAGTGATGTTGCCAAACACTGGATGATATACTTCCCACGCATTACCTATCCGCTAGTACATTTGGCAAACTGGTTTTGTGGTCTCAATCTGTTCTGGGTCTGTAAAGCGTGCTTTAGGTGCTTGAAAAGACTGAAAATGAGTTGGTTTCTTCCCACAGTGCTGGACACAGGACAGGGTTTCAAACTTGTCAAATCCTAATTAGCAACCAAAGAGGAAATGAAGTGAGAGCTCTGGGAACTTTCTCACTGTACCATACTTAAAATTTTTTATCTTACTATTTTTCTCTGAAAAAGTCTGCTACATTCACCTAATTCAGCTCTTTGAGCAGCTATACTATATGCAAGTTAGAAACTGCAATCTTAAACAGAAGAGGGTAGGATTATGATATTTTGAGTTTTGTTACAGGTCTGTTTGTACATATATAAGAGACTTATTTAATATGACCATGCATTCTGGAGACAGATCACATGTTCCTATGAGTTTCTTAGAGCAGCCTTTGTTCAGAGACACGGTTTGATGGACAAGAGCTCCTGGGAATGTTACAGCACACTCATCTGTCATTTATGTCCACTATATAGTTCAAATACAGGAAAGGAGCCAAGCTAGTACTCCAGTCAATTTACATATCCTTGAAATTATGTGGTGATATCAAGAGTATTACAAAACAGCACTGAGCCAAAAAGAAAAAAAAATAGCTACTGTAGAAGAATAGCTTAGTGTAGGTAAGTAGCTACCAAGAATGTTTAGTTTTACTTGCTTTTACATCTTCAGCCTGGACTCAGTTCTCTATTGCCATCAGAAAACAGGGAAATCAGACAACCTGCTGATGTTCTGGTGCTGCTCAATGTTTGCTGAAGTGAGTTTTAAAAACATTCAGTGTTATTTCCAATATTCAATATCTTTGCTGCTGATCTTTGGATATATATTCCCAGTAGTTAATTCATATATGGAATAAAAACTGCACTGAGCATTTTTCCTTCACTTGTTAGGATGGTTCGGTCTTTTCCAGGCTCTTACTAGTCTGTACTTTGAAAAGCTACCCTGAAGAAAATAAAACAAAATAAAATCCAAGGAATTTAACAAAGAAAATAATCCATAGATAAAAAATGGAAATACAAGTGTTGCCTTGCTTCCGTGTTTATCTGAAGTCTTTGCTGTGCCTAAGACCATGATAATGTAAAATGCTGAGTACAGGGTTGGACCAATGAGTTCATTATCTATTAAAACCACAAGCAAAGTTTGTTGGAAGGAATGCATTATTCCCTTAGGACAGAAGGAAATCCTGGGTATTCCTTAAGTCTGTTCTCCCACCCATAAGGTCATAGTTTTAATCCTTCCACTTACAGAGCTGGATGGGACTCCAGAAATCCTGTCCTGGCCTTTCCTTCAGTTAGAGAAGCTGCATAGCTTTCTGATCTCATCTCTCAAGTACAGAAAATAAGTAGTGAAACAACTAAGTGGCTGAAACAGTAATATTTGTGGGTTTTTATTTGCATATGTGTGTGCAATTTACTAGACCTAGAGTTTACTTTTTTCTATTTTCATCAGTGTTTTATTAAAAATGTTAAGTACTAGCTGATCCTTGTCTTAAATATAACTTTTTTTAAATTTAAATACATGCAAATAGTATAATAGCTCTTTAAGTCTTTGCCATCGTGACTTTTTCTAATGCCATGTGAACTTTTTACCTAGCTAAGCTAGAGAATCTGGTGACACTGATACTCATCATTAACTCCCAAAATAAATAATGAGATCTACAATAGCCAAAGCAATTTGCACCCACCAACTTCAAAATGGTGATTTTTTCAGACCTACAAATGACAGCCACAAAGTTTCTTCATTACTGTATATTACACGATGTTGTTTAGCAAGACACCATCCCTTTCCCTTTTTCCATCCCCTTCCATAATGTAAAAAGGGGATCTAGAAATGAGAGAGATGTCCTGTGAAGACTTAATGCCTTTGTGTCTTGTCTAATTAAGTGCTGTGATTGCAGCTCGTAAGAGGTGGCTGTTCTCAGTGAGGACAGAGGGTACTTACACCATCTAACTTCAGGTATCCAACTTAAGTTCCTAATGTGAGAGTCTGAGGTAGGAGTCATCTCATTTAATTTCAGGTGTCCGAAAGCCAGACATCTGAATCCATGCTAGTGATCTGAAGTGCTCCACTGCTCATTAACAAAGAGAAGTAAATATTTCCAGAGGAAGACTAATCTGATCTCTGTTTTAGGATGAATTTTCCTGTGATTGTGCACATTACATTTGTTTTGGTTTTGCTTTCATGCACAGACAAATCCCATATGTCTCTTGAATAACCTTAGGGCACCTCTGTTCTAAGCTGTCCTGTGGAGCCTGGGCTGGGTGCATAAGCTCCTAATTCAAGCGTGTGAGTTGGATACAAGAATCCATTGGGTTGCAGAAAAGCAGCACTGCCTCTTCCATTTTTGGTCAACAACCCTTGAGTATAGATGCATAAAGGCAGTCATTTGGTTTGTAAAATCTCCATTATTTTGACTCCTCTTTCAGTAAAAGTTCATCTGACTGCATTATAAACCGTTACAACTTGAGCCTTAGAAATTTTTAATTAAGTCCCCATAAAGCAACATCTGATAGTCACCTTTTGAACATTTGAAGTCAAGAAGTTAGTCCTTTCTGTTTTGGACAAGCTTTGAATATCAACCATAACTCTCCCTACTAATTATAATGGACAGATCTTAATGGGTAAATCTCTACCTGCTACTATTACATTTTCATGGACATCATCTGTATCTTTCTTTTGTATAAGAAGGAGAACAGGAATGGTGTGGGACTGAGACTGTGAGTAGGATCCACTATGCAGTGTAGTGATGGGCTTAGCTTTGGGCAGAATAAACACAACAATTGGCGTTGCTCTTTTGCCTCTGGTTATTAAATGCTTTCCAGCTTACTTATCAAACTGTTAGATTTTTTTCTAGGATAAACTGGGCGATCTCCAGCTGTTTGCTGAAAGTTAGATAAAGAGCCAGCTAAAAATGTAGCAGAAATATTATTTGCAAAACTAATCATGTCTTTGCAGACTTGTTGCAGTTTTTGCAGTTAAAGACCTGATTTTCTGAATTTGAAATAGTTGTAACATGAGCTAATGTATTTCTACTTCTGATATCGTTATTTTTTTAAACAACAAAGGCATGGTGAAAATGCTGATTTAAACTAAAGGAAATGTTTACAGCTATTCGAATTATGACGCCTTTTTGTACAAAGAGACTGTCATGTATTTCAAAACACAGTAAAACCAGGGCTGTGGATGATGAGGAATTCAACCACATTAATTCTTCACTTCTACACTGACTTACATCAAGGCATCCTACCGTGACCAACGTTCCCAGGTGGAGTTTTTCTCCAGCTCCTGGTTCTCGTGCCTCTGCAGGTCTCTGCCCAGCCTGGGTGTGTGCCTGCGGGACAAACACCAGGAGTTCCTGTAATCTAAGTGAGGAGTTATCCCTCTTCTCTTCCTTGTATAAAAGACAGGGGCAATGCCTGAAAGAGAAATTTAAATTTAATTCCAAAGAATGTTACGTACTCTCTCAGTTACGTACAAGTTGTTTAGCGGTAGTGTGTACAAATTTCTGGGTAGAGAAAAATCTAAACCTTTTTTTCAAGAAGTTTGTCTCTGTAATGTATATTCAGACATTTTGTTATAAAGCTTGTTATAAATTTGTGTCACATTAGTAATTTTATGTTGACTTTGTTTCATTTACCTCCTCTGTATCAGCCTTGCTGAAACATGCAAATGTACTGAGTCCTACAAATTTAAGTCTTTTACAGGAACTCAAATTGCATATTCACAGTAATATTTTTCTCTGAACAAGTGTTGGGGAGAAAAAAGCCATTGTTCTTTGGTTTTGCACTACTAGAGTTATGTATTTGCAGTTCCTTATGCTTTGTATGCCTTGTAGTTGTTGTCATCCAGTCTCCAGTTCAAGTTTTTCCCAGAAATAATGTTGTTTATTTTGTAAAGGCATAGTTAATGCTATGCTGGCTGTAAAGCACCTTTGTTGCAAGCAGTAGACAATGAAACTGTGTTAATTTTCTTGTTTATAAATACCTTTTTGTGGGAGGATTTTTACTGGATATACAGTTTTTAGATCTGTAAATAGATTTTTGAGTGTATTTGTGATATTACTTAAATATATTTTGCTGGTTTGGATGCTCATTTCATGTTTTTGTTTATGTTTTGATCACTTCCCAAATTTCTGTGCGTCCTCCTGAATTCCATGACGTTTTTCTATACAGCTTGTTTTAGGGGCGGGGTATTTTTAGCTAGAAATTGCAACAGAGTTTACTGAAAATACTCCATGGATTATTTGTAGATTTAATAGGAATGAGAAATATTACTTGCAGTTATTAATACTTTTCACCTTGTCGTTTTTTTATCACTTATTCAACAAGCTAGTAAAAATACTGTTTATACTTTGTCATTATTTTATAGAGACATAATTGAAGACTACATTTTACATGAGTATTTGTATTTAGTCAAACTTGTTGTCTCCGGTAAGATCAAGGTTATGGAGGGTTTTGTGAGTGGGATCAAACCTGGGAGATAAAGCAGAAGGAAAGTGTTGCTGCAGAATGATGAGGAGGACAAATCTCCACATCTGCTCCTCACAGAAATTGCTGAGGCGGTTCTTGCACTCCATCCTCACAAAACAGTTCCAGCATTAGTCTTAACAAGCTGGGACTTGTTAAGTGAAGGCTTTGGTGGCAAGTGGACAAGCATTTACTGTGATGAGAGGTTGCAGGTGTGTCGGTGGCAATCCAGTGTCCAGAGCTGCAGAGAAGGGCAGTGACCACGGGCAGAGCTTTTAGCACAATGACTAGCAGAGTACAATGATGATTTAGTGGCACCTTTTTGTTGTTGTTTTTTTAAACAGAAGGAATTTAATTTTGACTCTTTCTAATTCATGATTGAATCCATTAATTTTACAGCTTAACAATCAGTGTTCCTTTCTTATTAAACTTCTCTAGATCCTTTTCTGCTCAATTTCAAATTCAGAGGTAGCCCTATACAGCAGCACAGCTCACCCTCAGTGCTGCCCTGCAGCTATTCTAAGTCTCTTTGAATAGAGTCAGACAACCCAAAGCATTTCTCCATCCATGGCACTAGGTTTGGGGTTTTAGGTAAACTTTTTTGGTTACCTAGGAAATAAAAGTCAGTTAAAATAGCCCTCTGAATGTTGAAAGAATGTTTCTGCTTGGGTGCTCTTAACACATACATTATTATTGGAAAACAAGTGTAGCAAAAATTTCAAGCACATTGATTTGGAACAAGAAGGGCATTGATCAATGTTCAGCTGGTTTCCATCCACTCTTGGACACATTGCCCACTACCAGTGTGGAGTGAAAAAACAGCTACACTGTTACTGCTGGATTATACTGGAGACTGAAAAGCTGGATCCAATAGCAGTCCTCAGTATTACAGAGCTCACCTTTAGAGACTCAGACCCAGAGCGAGTACAACTTCCTTGCACAACCAGATGTGCACACCTTAGGTGTTTGTGAAGGGTTGGTCACCCTGCAGGCAGCAGTTGAACTATTTGGGATACGGAGTAGGAAGCTATTCCCTACAGGTCCCTGCAACGTCCAGCTGCTTACAACTAGTGACACGGAAATTTAAAATTTTACTCCTCAGCAGCACTAAATTATTTTCTTTATGTAGTAATTATATAGTCACTTCAAGGTGTCGTGAAACATTCTGGGCTCTTAACTCTGATACTGCTCTGCATGGAGCTAAGGAACTGCCAGAGCTGATGCTGATGGAGAAATACAGCCAGCTCTGCTCAGTACAGACAATTCTATAGTTAATAGATGCTAAAATCACAGTGAACCTGACTTTGCTCTCCCACAAATGCAAAGCCAGGCTACTCTAAGACAGTCTGTGTTGGGAATATAAAACAGAGAAGTTGGCTTCCTTTGCAAATCGAAGAGAACAGCCTGATTTGGAGATTGGCAAGAGCCAGAAGAGAAGTAGAAACTTTTTGTAAAAAAAGTTTGCTTTATAAATTGTGTATGACGTCCCTAGATACCATAGTACTGACTACATTATAAATGCATAAGAGATCCATTAAGAGAGATGGGGAGGGGGAAAAAAACCTGACAAATTAGGTTTTTATAGCTGAAAGCCCTAAAGATTTCTTCTGCATTGCAAAAGAGTATAAAGATTTTTATCCTTAGACAAAGGTTACTTCTTTTCTCAGGAAAGATAGGGCAGAAGAAAAGGAAGAAAACAATGAAGGAAAAAAATGCCAAGAGGAAAAGTAATTTTATGAGATAGGTCAGATTCAGCGCTGTGGCCAGGGGAATGGGAGTCGCAGACCAAGAACTAGAGGGAGGCTTCAGAACTGATCAGTTTTGTTTCTTATGGAGGCAACCTGTGTGCAACCCCGGGCCAGAAGATTGCTGTGGCCCATCCTAACAAAGGATGGCCTGACAGGATAGGCAAGTTTCCATTCTGGGCATATGACCTGGCACCATCTAACATTCTAAAGATGGCTTCTAAAAATATATGATTATATTTTGAATACAGTGCCTGAAACCAGGCAATGCTGCACAGCTACAACTGGCTGAGTAGTGGGGCTTTTATAGTAGGAAGACAATAATGTTACCTCCCCTCAGGCACATTCTCACCGTGGTGTTTGTGCATGAAATGTGTGCTGCAGCACTGAAGAAGGTTCCCTGTCTGCTGCCGTTGCTGGTGAGGAAGATGGCTAAGACCAGGTCCCTGCACCTGTTTCATTTTTACTCTTGGGTGAATCTTCACATGCTTCTCTGGATGAGGAAACATGGTACCTTCCAGGCTGAATTTGAAGCAAGTTTCTGATATCTAAAATTGCTCAGTGAAATAAATTGTTTAAAGATCGAACATAAGAGGTTTGATAAATAAAGACAGAATGCAGTCCTGGCATACACGAAGGAGGTATGTGAACTAGAGAAGAACAGAAAGGGGGACTGAAAAGGAGCAGGAAGCCCTATAAAGGAACCACATCCTGAATGTCTTGCACCCAGACGTACCACAAGATTGCTTGATTTAGGGCAGGAAATCAAATATTTTGTAATTCCTGCTTGTTTGGCTTAGGTGTATAAAAATAGTAAAACTAAGATAAGTACCAGGAAGGATTCAGATGATGGACCTGCAGCCTACCTCAAGTACAAATACAGAAAGGGCACAGTGGGCCAGGGCCAGCATTCAGGAGTTTGCTTTTATCTGAACAAGCCAGAACAAACTGGTTCCACCCACAGATAAGAGGAAGTAAGCTTCTGGACCAGCCTGCTCTTGATGCACAAAAATGTCTACATAAACACCAGAATTAGCCTGTTGGAGACTTGTGATAGATGTCTACATCCTCCAAGCATTTCCAGTTCTGGGGCAAGCAATTTGTCCTGCTGAGGACACCAGGCTTTAACTCAGTAAGTGTGGGGCTCCTGGAAATCTACTCCAAGGGTTCTATGGCATATTACAAAATTGTATTACTTAGAGAAATTTCTCTGAAGGGGTCAAAAAATACCAGAACCCAACCATCTGAAAAACTAGTACTTTTCTAAAATTCATTGCTGTGCATCAGGTGCCCTGTGGCTCCTTTGCGTGCACTGGAGAGAAGGTTTGTTGGTCATTGCATGATGCTGGAGTACTGTTACTGTAGTTCCTTTTCCAATTTTCTCTCCAGTTCTTCACTAAATTACCTTAATGGAGAGTTAAGCTACAAGTCCTGCCAAAAGGTGTTGCAGATGCTTGTATGGATTCAAGAGATCTAGGACCAATTCATTGATACAGCTGCACCATGGGCTCTGAGACACAAAGCTAGTAACCTAAGTTCAGGTCTGTTTGACCCATTCTTAAGGCTCATCCCATTTTTGGCCACTCTAAGAAACATGGTGTCAGTCTGGATGGAGATCTGACCAGTTCCAATGCAGCTGCTCTCATTTTACCTCCTGCTTCCCCAGAAAGCCTGCAGCCCTCCTGTCTATGCAGCAAGCGAAGTGTGGAACGATCCCCAAGACCAGCACACTGCTCGGTGGCTGCAAATGGTGTCTGCTGTGTGTCACTTCATGGCTGACAAGGCGTGAGAGCACTGGCAGGGATCTGTTTGAAGATTCCAGGATCTTTAAGATCAGTCAGTAAAATACCCCAGAACCGTAAACTGTGAAACTATTTTCATCTCTAGGTCAATATTAGATTGTAAGACAATCACTGTGTGACCCTGCATACCCAAAATTTGTCAGTGCTGAATGGACCTGTAATGTCAAAACTGAAGTAAGGACCCAAAAATAGCACTTGGGGGACTCATTCCCTTCTCAGTGTCTCTTTTCTTCTAGTTAGTGACTGCTCTTTATATTTCCAGCAATCCAAGGATGGTTTCAGTTGTGTTAGTTACAGTTTTGATGTCTTCAGAATTTATAAGGCACTCAACTTTCGACCACAAAAAGAAAATAAGTCAAAACCAGTCACAAAGCTGTCAGTTCACAGCTCATTCCAGTTCATCTGTCTTTCAATTTTCGTTTATGTGGTAGTATTTCCCACAGCAGAAATCCGCAATCTGAGTGTAAAGCTCAAATACATCTATTCAACACATCAGATTTACCCCAAACCCCACTCAGACTAAACTGTCATGAGAACAGCACCACCAAAGTAACTACTGAGCTTGCAGGCAGCAGAGTGAAAGCATTCCAGTGTTCTCATGGGAGCATCCTGTATCTGTACAGCTCTGAACACCCACATCAGTGCTTCTGCCAGTGTGTATATCCTGCAGTTTAAGAAACATTGGTTTATTTACTGACAAGTCAAAAGGAGATGTAACATACCTCAAACACTCCTGATTTTGTGAGATACATAGTAGGACCCAGCTAGCACTTTTCCACCAAACATTATCCTACCACCCAAAGAAATTCAACTTGGCTTTTAGCCCTCTGTTCAGGTTTCCTTGACACACAGCAACATCTCTGTCCCTCACCTGAGCTGTGTGCAGCCTCACATGCATTGCACAGCAAGCCTGCACCTTCAGATGTGTGCAGGGCTAGAGAAGAGCTGCCCTCCTGAGAAATCATGTTGGCCATTTTACTCCCTCCAGGAGAATGGGGGACCTGCCTCAGAGACTCCACCTACTATTGGTGTGTGGTGTGAAGGTGCAGCGCTGCCCCACACCCAGGATTTCAAGCCCTCATC